TTATTATTTTTTGTGTATGTACTGTCAAACGTGATATGACTGGTATAGGAGGAGACTGCCCCTCCTTCTCCAGCAGAGCATCTGGTGGATTCAAATTGTTCCAATAATTCTATATTTTTAGCAAAAAAATAATTTGGACTTGGTGGTTTGGTAGATAAGAATCTGTGATGCAATCTCGAAGGCACATAGTGCAAATTCACCAGCTGTTCTGAAGGAGAAGGATGAGCAATCTCCTCCCATGTGATTACTGACTCTGAAAACCCACTGGAGGGCCAACCATGGGTCAGTTCCAACTCGATGGTACCCAACAGCAACAACAATAATATTTCATACTGTCTTTTACACGTTGGACATGCAGCTGAGTAAGGCTATTTCTTAGAAAAGACACCATGATTGGAAAGATGGAAGGTCACCAATGGAGAGCAAGACTCCCAAAGAGATAGATTGACACTGTATCTTCAGCAATGGGCTCTAGTGTGTCAGAGATTGTCAGGATGGCACAGGATAAGGCAAAGTTAAGGATGGCTGTTCATAAAGTCACTACGAGCTGTACTTAACTCGACAGCACCTAACAACAATGGTATCTTAGGGAGTTCTGATGGTATAGTGGGTAAGGAGTTACATGGCCAACCCAAGTGCAGGCAGTCTGAATCCATTAATCTCTATGGGAGGAAGATGGGCAATCAATTTCTGTGCCATTTACAGCCTCCGAAAACCTGTTGCTGAGTCAGGTTTGACTGTATGTCATATAGCACCACCACCAACATAACTTAGTATAGCTACATATACTATTGTAGTTGTTGTTAAGTGCCTTGAGTCAAGTATGACCTCATAGGGACCCTATGAACAAAAGATCTGAACCTTGCTCTATAACTATCATAATTTCTCTACGTTCATAGAGTTTCCAAAGGCATGTTGTTTAGGAAGTGGATGCCAATCCTGCTTCCAAGCCTTTCTTAATCTGGGAGCTCTACCAAACACTGCCTACCATAGGTGACCATTATGGCATTTGACATACCAATGGCACAGCATTCAGTATCACAGCAACTCTACATTCTATCAGTTGTTGTTGTTGTTGTTTGGTGCCATTGAGTCATAGACGACTCATAGCGACCCTATCAATGAACAGCCTGAGCACTGTTCGTACATAGAGTTTCCAGAGACAAGCCATTTCGGAAGTGGATGCCACTCCTGCTTCCAGGCTTGATTTAGTTGGGAAGCTCCAGCCAACACTGTCCACCATGGGTACCCATTACCATGATTGGCACATCACTGTCACAGTCTTCAGCATCACAGTAAACACGAGTTACCTCTCTACAGCAACGCACAGACCAGTGCTATACCACCTGCACATACAACAAACTAATAGAAAAGTTCTGTATCACTTAGAAGAACATTCTTCTCAAACATAATTAACACCAGGCATGAGGGTTGCAGGCCCAAGGGCACAACTGACTTTTAAATACAAAGGCCTGCCCACCAGGTCCTGCTTAACTTATACAAGAGGCTTCCAGCCCATAACTGATTGTTAGCTCAATCCATTAAATCCACATGACCAATCAGCTCACACACTATTGTGAAAGAAATAAAAAGAACCAAACCATTTACACTGACTTTCAATTAAAATAAGAGAACTTATCCTCTAGAATCCAACTACTTCACACATGAGCCTCCAAACTTGATAAATATACTAAGCGATAAATATTCCTGTGCATGACATTGAGCCATTGTTGTTGTTTTAGGTGCCGTCAAATTGAGTACCACTCTATGACAATATATCTGAAACCTGTCCTATCCTGTGCCATCCTCACACTTTCTGACACACTTGTAGCAGTCATTGTGCCATCTTGTTGAAGGTCTTCTCTTTTGCCATCCCTCCACCATTCAAAGAATCATGTCCCTCTTCTAAGTCCCTCCTAGCAACATATCCAAAGTATGTGAATTGAAGTTTTACCATCTTTGCCTCCAAGGAGCACTCTGGCTGCCCTTTTTCCAAGATGTATTTATTTGTTCTTTTGGCAGTCCATGTTCAGCATTCAACACCACAGCTCAAAGACATCAGTTGAGCCCATGGACTTCAGTTATTTACTTATTGCTATAAATATTATATTCAATACATCTTCATATAAAGGAACATCATACTTGGAAAGGTGGAGGGTCAGCCAAGGAGAGAAAGACCCTCAACTAGATGGACTGTACAGTGTCTGCAACAATGGGTGTAAATGTGTTGAAGATGACAGGGATGAGGCAGTATAGGACAGAGCTTGGCTCTACTGTTCATAGGGTCACTCACTACACATCGTACTTGACTCCACTTAGCAACCAGTATCTGTCCCTAGATACTGAAACTTATCTGTCCCTAGAGAGATAAAAAGTAGAAGGCACTCAACAAGATAAATTTACACATGATGGTAACAATAGCTTTCAGAACACCAGAGAAGATGAAGCAAAGATGCTCCCTCAGAGGCAAGGATGGTGAAACTTCACCTCACTCACTTGGGCCATATTTTCAGGAGGATCCTATTGTTAGAGGGAGACACCTTGCTGGGAAAGGTAGAGGGTCAGTAAAAGAGAATTAGATCCTTCATGAGATGGACCGACACAGTGATACCACAATTGGCTTGAGCAGGGCAGAGGTCATGAGAAAGGTTTGGATATTGTTGTTCACAGTGTCACAATGAATCACAGTCAACTTGCTAACACCTAACACCTAACAACAATGAATGGAGCAACCATTTGACTAGAAACTAAGTCAGGAAAACATGACTTTAGGTCAGTAATCTAAATTTACTGTGTATATTTTCAAATGTACTTAATAATTAATGTGGCAAAACCCATTGTCTATTATGATGTTGTTAAGTGCCGTGGAGTCGCAGGCGACTCATAGCGACCCTATGAAGGAGAGTCCTCAACAGTCTCTCATCCTCTCTCCAGATTCATAGGGTTTCTGAAGGCAAGCTATTACGGAAGTGGATGCCACTCCTCCTTCCAAATTATCTATTATAGTAACCTATTTACTATAAGGGAGCTCTGGTGGCTGAGTGGCAAGAAGCTGCACTAAAATCCAGAATACACACAGTTCAAAGCCACCAGGTGCTCTGTGAGAAAAGGATGGGAGATCTCCTGTTGTGCGATTAACTGCCTCTGAAAATCTGTCAGAGAGTCAGCTATGGGTCAGTTCTGACTCTACAGAGAACAACAACATCATTTACTCTAAAAAGCAGAGCGTCTAAATTTTGGAGAAAGTGAAAGTCAAGGACTTGTAGAAGAATGACACTTAATGCCATTGACTTTTGTTGCGTCATTTCTTTGTATAACTCAAATCCACATCCTGTGATGGAAATGGGATTTTGTTAGAATTTCTAAAGTTGGTAGGCTTAAGTTATTGGCATACTAAGCACATGGGTATAACATATGCTGTTGTTATTTACTGTAACGTCAGGACTGACCCATAGCTGACCCTCTGGCAGGTTTTCTGAGGCAGTTAATTGTACAGGAGGAGACTGCCCATCCTTCTCCCACAGAGCCACTAGTGGCCTCGAGTTGTGTGCCTTCGATTTTACAGCACAGCTTCTTGCCACTAGGCCACCAGAGCTCCCTAATACACACGCGCACGCACACGCACACACACACATACACACACACTACTATATATATAAACTTTATACATAAATACTATATATATACATATATATCATATATATAAACTACTAGCTATTTAACTTTCAAATGTTCTCTATTGGATTATAAAGTCAAAGTCTTTTAAAATGGCAGTCAAATTAAAAAATTACGCTTGAATTTAGATGTTTGGATATGTACACAATGCGTGTGTATGTATGTGTGTACTGCATGTCCAGAGAGAAGGAAAGAGAGTATAGAAAAGAAAATTTCACCTAAAAATAATGGGAGAAAGTAAGCATTTATCTCTAAGAACAAATAACAAGCTTGATCTGAAATACTAACTTATCAATAAAGTATCCCAGAATAGGACTTCCTCCGTCTATAGCTGGCTGTTTCCAAGAGATGATGATATAATCTTTGTTGGCATCTAAGCTCACCACATCCAAGGGAGAAGCTGGAGCCCCTTCAATCTCTGCATCAGCATCTGGGAAGGTAAGAAAGGATCATGTTAATATTCTCAGACTTGCTCAGTCAGCTTGGCAGGTGGAGATCTTACTGTACATGGGGTTCTCCAGCCCCCACCATGTTGTTACATTTATGACCCAGGTAGAGTAAGCTTCACTTTTGCAATTCCTTTATCAACTTCAATACTAGGAACACTAGGCCAAAACAGAGAAGATTTTCAAAATAACCCTTGATCTTTGTCTGTGGCCCTGGGCTGTTCAAAATGTTCTAAGAGAACATTAATATACAGACATAACTCGTTTTGTTGTGTTTCTCTTCACTGTACTTTGCAGGTTTGTGAGAACCCTGCATGGAGCCAAGTCTATTGACGTAATTTTCCTAACAGCATGTACTCATTTTGTGTCTCTGTCTCACATTTTGCTCATTCTTGAGATATCTTAAACCTTTCATAATCCTATTGCAAACTTAAAAGACACTGAATACATTGTAATCTTTGTACTGGGAAATAAAACAATGACAGGATTCACTATGTAGTGACATTAGCTTTGTGGTGGTGGTCTGGGACCAGACCAGCAGTGTCTATGAGGTACACCTGTAGAGGCATTGAAGATTGCTATTAGACAAGTCCAGAGTAAAACGGACCAGCAGGTCTGTTCTTAAGACATTCATTGTGCAGTGTTACTACGTGGAATCTATGAAAGTCTTCAGAGGGAAGCAAACAGCTTCTCCTTTCCCTTTCTGAGTGCTTCTAAAAAAGGACAACCAGCACGGAGCTTTGCCCAGGGAAACACTAGGAACCATTGTGGAAGAGAAGGAAAACGGTAATCTTGACCAAATGTCTGTTCCCAAACTGACAATGTTTTTGTCATTTTAGGCTGTTCCAACTAAACAATAATAAGAATGAGAGAGTTCCTAAATGGTAGCAGGTAGGGAAAGAGGCTGAGGCTGAAGAAGTAGTGACCTAAGAAAAACCACCCACCCTGCTGACCACCCAAGCACTCCTTTTCTATGATCTATACTTACTAGGCATATTGTAGCTAATGTTACATAGATCTTGGCTGAAAGCAGGAAGTACCAGAGGAATGTCTATCTGTGTTTAACTGATTATGCAAAGGCATTTGACTGTGTGAATCACAACAAAGTGTGGTTGACTCTGAGAAGAATAGGAATCCCAGAACACTTGATCATGCTAATGTGAAACCTGTACTTGGATGAGGAGGCAAGGAAACACCGCATGGTTCAAATTTGGTAAGGGTTTATGCCAGGGATGTGTCCTATCTCCATACCTTTTCAACGTATAATGCAGAACAGATTATCTGGGAGCTAGGCTGTATGAGAAGTGTGGCATCAGGATTGAGGAAAATTTATCAACAATCTGCATTATGCAGATTACACAACCCTACTTGCTGAAACTGAGGAGGACCTGAAGCGTTTGCTGCAGAAGGTCAAGGGCTGCAACCTTCAATATGGATTGAGGCTCAATATCAAGAAAACAAAGATTCTCACCACTGGACCAATTGGCAGCGTCAGGATGGAAGGTGAAGAGATTGAGACTGTTAACAGCTTTAGTTTGCATGGCTCCACAGTCAGCACTCTTGGCACCAGCAGCCAGGAAATGAAAAGACATATTGTGATGGGAAAGTCTGCTGTTAGGGACCTCTCCAAAGTACTGAAGAGTAATGATGTTACTCTGGAGACTAAGGTGCACCTGATGCAGGCCATGGTCTTTGCCATCATTTGCTATACATCAGAGAGCTGGACAATGACTAGTTAGGCTAGAAGGAGAATTGATGCCTTTGAGCTGTGGTGCTGAAGAAGAGTATTGAATGTACCATGGAGTGCTAAGAAAATGATCAGGTTCATTTCAGAGAGGGTTAAACCAGGCTGCTCCTTGCAGGCAAGGATTCTGAGCCTTCATCTGACATACTTTGGACATGTTGCAAAGAGGGACCAGTCCTTGGAGAAGGACATCATGCTTGAGAGGGTGGAGGGACAATGCACGAGAGGAAGACCCTCTATGAGGTGGATTGATTCAGTGACTGGGTTAATCAGGGTGGATGTGTCAGTGACAGTGAAATTGGCACAGGATAGAGCAGGGTTTAGGGCTGTTGTACATAGGATTGCTATGAGTCACAGGTGACTCAACGGCACATAACAACAACATACTTCTGTGACCCTGGTAAGTTAAGAAACCTTGCAAAACAACAGGCGTACTTCTGAATTTCATAGATTTGCATAACCTGTGAAGAGTTCAAGTTACTTGGCTCAGAAATTCAGACATTACCCTTGGCTTTTAATCGCTATCATTAGATTATTGTACCTGATATCTGATGCAGATTCCCTACCTGTCACACTATTTCACACAATTTGGTGGGGACAGATTTCTTTCCATTGGGAGGTCTGGGTGAGGGAAGGGAACACTGTGGAGAGATGGTGGTGGAGCTGAGCCAGCATTGCATAGAGACGTGGAGACTAATATTTTAGTGACAGAAGAGTTGCTGCCAGAATGTTGGTTAGCTTCCAGAGGGACAGTTGGCAATTCCTAGTGATGTCCTTCAGGGCAGACAACAGACAGAGGAAAGGACGATCTGCTTATTCAGTCCTCACTAAGCCAGTTTATATAGGTGGTTTGACTACACCAATTTACTTGCTGATGAATTCCAACATGTTCATTTTCACTGAAATCTACCCAGAAGGCTTGCTTCTCTCTTTCCCCAGTAATGCCTGACTTTCCCTACAATGCTGAAATAGATGTTACAGTTATTTGTACTTAGATCCACAATCAGTGCCCATAGAAGCAGTTTAGAAATCAGCAACTTATTGGATTGGGCCAATCTGCTGCAGAAGGCCTCTTTAAAGTAAAGACATCACTTTGAGAACTATGGTGCATCTGATCCAAGTAATAGTATTTTCAGTTATCCCATATCCATACAAAATTTGGACAATGGATTGTGATGTTAGGTATTGCCAAGTCAGAATTGACTCATAGATGACCCTCCGGCAGGTTTTCAGAGGCAGATCTCATGAGAGATTTCCCATCTTTCTTCTGTGGAGCAACAGGTGAATTAAAACCACATGCCTTTGGGTTGGCAGCACAACCTCTAACCACTAAGCCACCAAAGCTCCCTGGACAATGACTAGGAAAAGGCCAAAACAGAATTGATGCCTTTGAATTACTGTGTAACCAAAGAATATTGAATATGCTATGCATCGGAGAGCTGGACAGTGAATAGGGATGATAGAAAGAGAATGGATGCCTTTGAGCTGTGGTGCTGGAGAAGAGTGTTGAATATACCATGGACTGCTAGGAGAACAAAAGGTTTGTCCTGGGAGGGTGAAGCTGGAATGCTCCTTGGAGTCAAGGATTCTGAAGCTTCGTCTGACATACCTTGGGCATGATGCAAGGAGGGACTGGTCCTTGGAGAGGGACATCATGTTTGGGATAGTGGAGGGACAGCGCAGGAGAGGAAGACCCTCAATGAGATGGATCGATTCTGTGAGTTGAGTGGTAGAAATGAATGTGCTTGAGACAGCGAGGTTGGCACAGGATAGAACGGCGTTTAGGGCTCTTCCTTGTACATAGGGTCGCTATGAGTCACAAGCGACTCGATGGCACATAACAACAACAACAACAACATGGCTTCCAGAAGAATGATCACATCTGTTTGGAAGAAGTACACCCAAATGCTGCTTAGAAGCAAGGAGAGTGAGTATCAGCTCATTTCCTTTGGACACGTTCTTAAAAGGGACCAGTTCCCAGAGAAGGGCATCACGCTTGGCAAAGGGAGAGCATAAAAACAAGGAGGACCCTCAGTGAGATGGACTGACACAGGGTCTGTATCAGTGGACTCAAACAGCAGCAACTGTGAGACAGCAAAGGAGCAGGTGGTGTTTTAATCTGTTGTACAACAGGTCTCCTCTATGAGTCAGAACCAGCAACATAGCTCTCAGTTCATATAGTTCAATAAGAACAACATAGATATCAGTTACTATTACATCATGGATTTCAATGATAAGTTTTAACTGATCTGTTCTTCCTCATTTCACTCTCAAAGTTGAGCCCCGAGCTTTAGCGAAAACATAGATGACAAACCTGAGATGACGCACTTCCGATGCATGTGTCTACATCTTTGCTATGGGAGGAGAGGAGGTGATATGTGCAATTCTGCATCTCTCCTCCACTTCTCTTCTATCTTCCACAGGACAGAATGGGACAAGGTACAGGATCATTAGGGATAGCAATGGAAATGGGTCATGGGACTGATGACTTTATTGAGCAAAATAAAGTCATCTGGACCACCGTACTATACCTCTGGACAGTAATAAATGTTGTGTTTTCTTCTGGTGATGTAGGTGATAAAACAAAGGCAACAGGGAGCTCAAACCCATTGCCATTGAGTTGATTCTGACTTATGGTCACTCTGTGTGCTACTGAGCTCTGAGCTGCACTGGGCTCCCCAGGGATGTTTTTGGCCTCAGTCTTTATAAGTGGATCACCAAGCCTCTGCTCCACAGCCCCACTGCATGGATCCCAACAGCCAATCCTTCAATTAGCTGTCAAGTGCAAGCTTTGCTTAAAATCCTAGGCTAGGCTTCAGAAGACTATATTTGTTCAACTCTCGCTTCTAATACTGATGCTTTTAGTAAACCAATTTATAATTTATGAGTCTCTACTTCTGCATTTTAAAAGTCAGTAGTTGTACTAGAACAAAAGCTGCAACTGTTTTGGCCCTCACAGACTCCTGTAGCTATCTAAAGACCACTTTCAAATACTGTTACTAAATACAAAATGTATAGTGTACAGTACAAAAGAAACCAATTACATTGGATTATAGGTCTAATCACGGACCATTTTGGGGCCTGAGATCCTGGGTAAGAACTCTGGGACTATCTCCCAGATCCCATTTCTATGAAAATGCATATGAGTTTATTGTTCTATTTTGTGTATGAAAGGGGGAAAACTGTCTAAGTCTTCCCTTGTAGCCTACAAGGGTTATGTATGTGCTAAGGTCTCATGTTGAAACTACAATCCCACTTACATATATCCAATCTATTCAAGACATCACTGAAAAAAAAATTCTTATAATCAGCAATGTCAGTTTTTTCTAAAAATTCCCTTGTACCACCCTATTTGCTAGTTCATCAAACCTCAAACTATAAAAAAAAAAGATAACTTGGAATAAAGGGAGAAATCGGCTTCTTACGATATTCTTCTATTGCAGCTTCCATCTGAAATTACTTTGCTTGTCTTTGGGATTGACACCTGCTTGAGCACCTACAGAAAACTAGCCTGGTGGTTTGGATAGGAAAAGATAAGGACATTTCTGATATTATCAACTCACACAAGGTCTGGAAATCAACAACTTTTATGTTCTTGTCTTCAGGAATCACCTTTCACATGAGGTCTAATTTTACTGACAATTAATATCTTACTTCACCTAATTTGGAAGAATTCTCAAATAACAATTTCACCAGCACACAAAAACATTGAGTGAGTATATCGACTTCAGTTATTTACATTAAATATTCTTGGATGTTCTGCTTGTTTTGGCTAAGCCTTACCTCGAACAAAGACATAAGCACTGTATTGTTCATAATATTCGCCCATTCGCACACGAATTGTATAAAGCCCTTCGTCTTCCTTGTTGAGGTGAGAAAATGTCAGCATTGCCCGTTCTCCACTCCAATGTGTTTGCACCCATTTTGATGGGGAAACAGGTTCTCCTAGAAATTAAAAAAAAAGGTAATAAAATTAACTTTATCTCTCTTCCTCTTTTCTTCCTCTCTTCCTTTCGTTCTTTCTCTCACTTTCTTCTGTTCATGCTCTCATTCACCTTCTCCATTGACAGCTACTAGACTATTAGAGAAAGTCTCAAAAGCTTTGCACCACTCTACCATATGATACTGCTGAAAATTCACGACCAGAAGTGAGGGACCAAGACCATCATGATATATAACTTGCAGACGTGTTGTTGTTGTGTGCCATCGAGTTGGAACCGACACAGAGCAAATCCTCCAATTGGTTTTCAGAGACAATAAATCACTCAGGAGGAGATGACCATCTTTCCCCCACAGAATATCTGGTGAATTCAAACCACATCTTTGGGTTGGCAGTGCAACTCCTTACCACTAGGCCACGAGAGCTCCCCTTAATTTGCAGGAGCAAATGTAAAAATTTCAAATCTTGTTCAGAAAGTAGAGAAATGTATGCAATTGAAGTTTCAAAAACATAACGGTTTTTTCTTTATTTTATTACTTATAAAATGCAACAGGAGTATTGTAAATTGCAAAAGCATACTCCTGATAATAAAATTTTATGTAAAATAAATAATATTAATGTGATATAATAGTTGATAATAACATATTTCCTGGTTCACTTATTTGCAAATGTGAATGTTTAAGTCTTTGAATTTCTACTTTCACCAGTTTATTTTAAGTTGGTAAAATCTAAACCAATATCAGTCATTCTTTACAAATACAAGATCACAAATACTTCTTGATAATGTTTTATTTTGGGAAAGATCTTCCCAAGCTGATAAAACCGTTAATGGAGCTGCCAGAAGTATTGCATGCTGTGGTACTTTTGGGGTAAGCTTCCAATAAACTATTTCAAAATACACATTTTAGTTCTCCAGAGCTGCTGATTCTTGAAGAGTTTTTCTAAAAAGACATAACCCTCCATAAAAATTTGTCTCATGTAAGTTTGAATTTAATTTTAGTGTTTCCTATAACATGGGATGGTGTTGTTTGTTTTTGGTTTTGTTTTTTTAACTTGTGGGAAACATCAAGAATCTTAAAATGGCTTAATGATTTTCATAATTCAAAATTCCTAGTCACACATTCTATCACTGTCACTGTGTCTTCTGTTACAAGGAAAATTTAATCCTTTTCTTCTCTAATAATTGACTTATCCGTTTTCCATTAAAATAAGGTTCTTTTTCATCAAAATTGACCATCTCTAACTTCTAGTTCTAAATTTATGAGTTTTTCCTTTGCAATGTTAAAGGGGTTTTCAAGACCAGAGGTTCTAAATTTTTTTAAGAATTCTAATAACTTCCTTCTGCACTTTATTGGAATAAGCATGCATTCAATTACTTAGGAAGTTTGTCATGTTTGACTGATGATCATCCTTGACCCAGGGTTGAGGCCAGGAATTGGACATTCATGCAGATGCTTAAGAGGTGGGTTCTGGGGTGGGCTCATCCATTGGCTTCTCACTGAGTGTTCCACACTGGCCCCCAAGGGAAGCCTTTCCTCTCCCCTGGGACCCCAGATACTGCCATCACTGTGCTGTCGCCACTGTTAATTTCAGTCTGGACATGAAGTCCTGGCTTAGCCATCTCCAAGAACACTGTGGTGCCCCCCGAGGCCCCAAGTGGACATGTACACACCTAGAATTCAGGCCAACTGCACGCTAAGTGACTGAACGGTCCCATTGGGCCTATGAGGGACTGTCTGTGAAGTCACCTAATAGGCCTTCTCTGCTCATGCTCAAACTCTGTATTCTCATCAGACATCAATGACAAAAAGTCCAAGTTCTGGAAATTGTCAAGAATTTTAGATATTAACTTTAGGAGAGCATGAATGAATTGCTGGTATCCTTCTGAGAATGCTCTGTGGGGTGATACCGTTTGCTAGAAAGTTGTCCCTGTAGAACAGCAGTCTTAGAGCTGGTTCAGTTGCCCATCTGTTGGGGAATTAGGGCTGTTCCTTACCCTTTAGGGACGTTTTTATATCTGTTCATTAGATGTGATAAACTTGCATCAAAATTTTGGTTCTTTTGGATGAAATGTTTCCAATACTATTTTAGAGATCATATTATTTTTGGAAGTCCAATGATTCAACTAGGGAACTCTGGTGGCCTAGTGGCAGGAAGCTGTGCTTCAATCAGGAAGGCACAGGGTTTGAGGTCACCAGCTGCTCCATAGGAGAAGGATGGGCAAGCTCCTCCCATCAATTAACTGCCTCTGAAAACCCACAGGAGAGTCAGTTATGGGTTGGTTCCAACTCTAGAGTGCACAACAACAATAACAACAATAATTCAACTAATCATTCCAATGATTCAACTAATTGTTAGTTTTCTTGTTTGATTTCACTTCTTTTGACCATGGAGACTTTAAGTTTGAAGCCTTTTTAAGTTTAAGACTGTAAGGTTATCTAGACTTTAAGTATACTTTCACCCCATAACTTCACATAATGGAAAATGAAGCCTTGTTTCTTCCTTACACCCAAGTACTATGTCTCTAGGCCACCTGGAGACAAAATAAGACTAAAGTATCACTGAAAAGTAATCAGAGGGACCAACAATGCAAAGATTTGTAGTCCACTCTTCTACCTTTGGTGACTATCTGACATAAAAAAGGATCTACTTTTGCATCCTTATGGAACAGCAGTGTAGCTGTGTGTTTTATTTGCAGAATAAACTTAGAAACTTCACATTCTAGCGGGTCTTAGGGAGCTCTGGTGGCAAGAAGCTGCCATACAATTCGAGGCCACCAGTTGCTCCGCGGGAGAAGGATGGGCAATCTCCTCCCTTGTGATTAACTGCTTTTGAAAATCCACCAGAGGGTCAGCTATGGGTCCGTTCTGACTCTACAATACACAGTAACAACAATGGGCCTTTAATACATTTGAACAGAGAGACCAAACTCTGCATGTGCTTTTCATTTACACTGTGATTAATAAACAATATCATATGTTGAAAAACGTTTCATTCAATTCCTACTATATAAATGATAAGTCTATTAGAAAGGGTATTTGGACAAACACATTTAATAAATTAAATAAATGTGCATTCTTTAATTATTTTAGTCCACATTATTTTTTGGCAATAAGAAATATAATATCCAAAAGTATATTATGCACAAAACACATTGCACATGAGTGATCCTCTGAAACACAATGTGAGTTTAGGAATGTGTGAAGCCATGAATGATACACAATGTCTGCAAATTTTATATGCAAACCAATATAAATTAAAGTGAAGAGAAAAAAATATACAATTTTCTACCTTGACATACATGTCAAAATTACTTTAAAATTACTTTTTGGTTATCCCCTCAAACTTCCAGATTAATCACCTCTCCTAACAGGTCCTCTCTGCCCTGAGCTGCACCTGGGAACTGGCCTGCAGTTTTCAAATGAAGATTTAAGGGAGAAATCATCATCATGAAGACTCACCATTTCTGAACCACTGGATCTCCGGCTGGAAATGCTTGATTTCAGGAGTGATAATTACGCGGCAGCCTAGACTCATCGTCTCTCCCTCTCTCCCAAAAGACACATCAAACTTCTCATCAAAGTGGATCTCAAACTTGGATGCATAACCATAAGGAGTAACAGCAACTGGGTACAAAAACAAGTGTCAGAAGTTAATCTCTTCTCCTCAAAGAGTGTAGCAAATTTTAATAAGTGTAGCCAGGAAGCAGTGGCAACCAACACTGATCAAATTATTTATTTGATGCAGATTAAGCCTGCTATTCCATGTAGGACTTGTGCTTATAAAGTTTGAATAGATATTCTTGCTTCAATTGCCAGATAAGATATAAACTTTTATAAACTATTATAGTGAATAGAATACAAGGAGCTAGTTTGTCTTCAAGAAATGCATTTTAATGCCACATTTTGCTTACACTTAAATAACTGCGATATATGCATGTTTTACATTGCAGCACAACTTCTTACCACTAAGCCACCAGTGCTCCCTTTATATGCACTTTTTAAATTGACTCCATTCTTGTTCTTAGTACAAAGTAGTCATGCCAATTAGACATAAAAGTAGAGTTTCTCCATAACTTATTTCAGGATTGGTTTTTTAAAAAAATAATAAAAATAACAAAAGTAACTTTATTAGAATTATTTTATTATTATTATTAGAAAAAATTCTTAAATATTATGATTTAAAAAATGTTTTCTCTGATATTTCTTATTTAAAGATTACATCATGAATCCTTAGATTTATCTTTTTTCCCTTTTCTTTTAAAAAGGTTTTGGGGAGGTAATGACTATTTATTGAGAGCTAGCCTAAAAGTTATTGGTTCAAATCCACCAGTCACTGTACTGGAGGGGAAAAGGTCTGGTGATTTGTTGATATCAAGATTACTTCATAGGAAACTCTATGAAGCAAATCTACTCTGTCATATGACCTAGTGGTAAGAAGCTGAGCTGCAATCCCAAAGGCACATGTTTCCTCTACAGGAGGAAGATGGACAATCTCCTTCCCTGTGATTTACTGCCTCTGAAAACCTGCTGGAGGGTCAGCTGTGAATTAGAATATGCTGAGTGGTAAAGTGACAATGACTTATGAAAACCACTATGTTGTTGTTTGTAAGAGTTGACTACGGATCATGGTGATCTTATGAACAACAGATCTGAACCTAGTCCTATCCCGCACCATCCTCAGGATCTCTGTCATGATTAAAGTGAAAGCATGTTAATGGGAGTGACACAGGGGTAGGGGGAGAACAGGAAAAGAATGGCTAGATAATGAACACTGCACTGGAACAGATGAGGAGAAGGACTGTCTGAAAGAAACATGATTAGGCATTCAGTATATGTATGACAATTCATAATCTGGAACAAGAGATGCATTACAAAGTGAACTGGGGGAGGGAGAGGGAGGAAAATGTACACTAATGAATGAATGAAAACCCAACCTTTCTGTAACTTTTGGTAAAATCATAGTAAAATAAAAAATCCTGTGTCAATCCGTTTTACTGAGGGTCTCTTCTCTTTCTCCTACCCCCCACCTTTCCCAGCACGTCTTTTTCCAACGACATCATGAGCATGTGAGACAAAGTTTCACCATGCTTGCCTCTGAGGAGCACCTTGGATGCTCTTCCTCCAAGACTCATGGGATATTCAGGGAACTATCCAGATGATTGAAGTAGTTAAGTCCTCCACCTAAGAGCTAAATGCTGCCAAAAGGTTGGTGGTTCGAATCCTCCCAGAGATATCTCAGAAGACAGGCTGGCAGCCTGCTTTGAAGATGCCACAACCCTGAAAACCTTCGGAAGAGATCTACAGTGCACCTGGGTGGGTGGGTGGCGGGATTGCCAAGTTAGAATCAACATGGTGACAACCAGCAGCAACAGTGACTAAAGAGGAGAAGCATATTTTCATCTGCTTACTGGCCGTTTGGATATCTCCCTTGGAGAAATGTCGATTCGGAACTTTTGTTCCCCTTTTAGTGGAGTCATTTGTCTTTTTATTTTTTTTTTTATTTGTAAAAGTTTTTACATATTCTTAGACTTAAGTTTCTTTTCAGATGTTGTTGTTGATTGCCTTCAAGTCGAGCATGATTCACAGCGACCCTATGAACAAAAGGCCTAAAGCTCTTCTACAACTATTGACATTTATCAAAGTTCATACGGTTTCTGGAGGCATGTTGTTTAGGAATTGGGTGTCACTACTGCTTCCAAACCTGTCAGAGTATGTTACTGTTGCTATGTGCCATTGAGTCGCCTGCGATGTAGGTACCCTATGTACAGCAGCTCTGAACCCTTCCCTGTCCTGAGCCAGTCTCACTAATTCTGACACACCAACCCTCATTGCCCAGTTACTATATCAACTCATCTCATCTGGAGTCTCCCTCTCCTGCACTGTCTGTCCAACCTTCCGATAATGATGTCCTTTTCAAAGGACCGATTTTCCTGCCACATGCCCAAAGTTACTGAGATGGAGCTTCAAAATCCTAGCCTCAAAGGAGAGACTTGGTTTCACCCTCTACAAGACAGATCTATTTGTTTTCTTGGCAGTCCATCTCTTCTCCAGCACCACAATTCAAAGGCATCCATTCTTCTTCTGTCATCCTTAGTCATTGTCCAACTCTCTGAATCATATCAAGTAACTGAGGACACCATGGCCTGGATTAGGCACACCTTTGTATATAAATTGACATCATTGCTCTTCAGCACTCCGGGGAGGTCCATGACAGCAGATTTTTTCCAATGCAATTAGTTTTCTGATTTCCTGACTGCTGTATGATCTATAAACATTTTCTCCCATTCTGACATCTTTCACTTTATTGATTGTATTCTTTGAAATACAATTTTTTTTAAAAAAGAAAATTTAATAATGTCCAAGTTATTCTTTTGTTACTTATGATTTTAGTGTTATATTTAAGGAACAGTTGTTAACAAGAAGAATAGAAATAATGAGAATCCTGATATGCTGGGAAATAATGTCGTTAATGCCACTAAACAACACGTTGTTGTTGTTGTTAGGAGCTATCGAGTCGACTCTGACTCATCAGCTCCAGGAGCCCTGCCCAGTCCTGCGCCCTCATGATCTGTTGTGCTCGAACTAGTGCTTACAGTGCGCCAACTCTTCCCACCAAGAGGCTTCCTCTCCTTCACCGACCTTGATTTTTCTAAGCACAGTGTCTTTTTCCATGGTCTGGCCCTTCCTAATAATATTTCCAAAGTATGTGGAGAGGAAGTCTCTTACTTTTTTTTTTTAGTAGAAAAAACCACACAGGGACTTGATTATTCCCAGTACGGGGCAGGTCTTCCAGGGGCGGCAGGAGGTGGCTGTGAGGCAGGGCTGTGGAGGCGGGAGTGGCCCTACTTGACGGTGGTGAGGGGGTTCCTTAGGACCACGCTGACCGAGTCCCCACGCAGGACCAACTTAGAGATGTAGCGGTCCTTGATGAAGGGCTTGGTCTTCTTGTCCTCTTGGGGACCTGGGTCCACATCTCGTTCACGTTCTCCAGCACCCTGTTGCAGTGCCTGTCAAAGGCCTTCGCGCGGCCCAGGAGCTCCTTGTTGTTGGAACAGTTGATGAGCACTTGCGTGTTGTTCTTGACCGACTGCGTGAGCACTGAGAGCGTCCCCTGTTAAACTCCTCGTCCTCTCGCTTCTGCAGCTCCTCGGGGTCGTCTCACTCTTGGGCTTGCTGAGGAACCTTATGGTGCCGGCTGTGGTCTCAGTTCGCTCGTACTGCCTCCGCATTGCTGCTTCCTCTCCACCATTCTTACTTTTAAGACCTGCTCTCGTCCAAGGCAGATTTATTTGTTCCTTTGGAAGTACATAGTGAAAACTTCATTTAATATGCAAACTCACCAAAACCATTTTTAAAAAAGAAAAAGAAAGTATTTTCTGATCCAGAGACATCAAGATTTACGTCTATCTTTCCTAATAAGATTATCTAGTATTTTTTTTAATCTATATTATCTTTGGTTAATTTTGAATGCATTTTTTTTATATGTGATGTTAGTAAGGGGCAAACTTAATTCCCCCGCCCCCATGATAAGGGATATTCCTTTAACTCGCTGGTCTGTCTGATACTTCTCTAAATCTGAACATTCACATGAAGACAGACTAGGAAGAAGGATTGGCCATCCACTTCTGAAATAGCAGGCCTCTGAAAACCCTATGTACAACAGAACACATTTAGATA